GCTGTCAGCACAGAGCCTGATGTGAGGCTTGAACTCACTAACTGCGAGATCATGACCTGAGTTGAAGTTAGATCATGAGACCTAAGCCGATGCTTAACCGACTGAGCCACCCAGGCAACCCTGTTTATTTAGTTTCAAGGTAGGCTCCACACTCAATGGGAGGCTTGATCTCACAACCCCAAGATCAAGAGTTGTTGTTTTACTGATTGAGCCAGCCAGGTGCCCCCCCAATGAGTATGTAAAATAAGGAATATAAGCCGTGTGCTCACAGACCAGGCTTCCAAACAAAATCTTGTCCGAGTCATTAAATGTCTCCTTTGATGATAAGCTTATCAGAGGGATCCTTTCTCTCCAATGTGATAGTTTTTTATCACTTACATATATATCTGAGCAACATATAGTATTGTTTTGCATGTTTTCAAACCTTACATAAATGATATTGTTCCATATGTGTTCTTCTGAGTTGCTTTTTTCACTCAAAAAATATTTTTTAATGTTATTTATTTTTGAGGGGGGGGGGAGAGAGAGAGAGAGAGCGAGCATGTGCGAGAGAATGGGGGAGGGGCAGAGAGAGGGAGAGAGGGAATCCCAAGCAGGCTCTGCACTGTCAGCCCAGAGCCCGATGTGGGGCTTGAACTCACGAACCATGAGATCATGACCTGAGCCAAAATCAAGAGTTGGACGCTTAACCAACTGAGCCACCTAGGCACCCCTTCACTCAATATTTTTATAAGATTCATCTGGTTTTGTCCCTGAGACCTAAGATAGTTAATTTTCACTATATTCCATTTTATGACTACTCCACAACTTATCCTTTCTTCTGTTGATGGAGGTGTATTTTCAGTTGTTTGCTATTAAATAAGCACTGTTATTTGGGGCATTCATGTATACTATCCTGGTGTATTTGAGAGTTTCTAGAATATATTTCTATCGGTTTTATTAGTTATAGCTAAATTACTCTCTTAAAATAGTTAATACCTGTTTAATGCCTGGCTCAATATGCTTGGGTGGGCAATTTTTTTAAC